TTTCAAGGCTTGAAGCGAGCCGTAAACTCTCAAAAGTGCATACGAGTTGGCGGGAAGCACTGCGACCTGGAGGCAGTGGGCATCGACAACACACACCACACCTTCTTTGAGATGCTCGGCAATTGGAGCTTCAATGACTACTTTAAGGTTCGATTTCAGTTTTTGTGGGGAGTTCTATTTCTAAATTCTCATCTTTTTGTTCTCAGAAAGAGGCCTGCCAGATGGCCTGGACCCTCCTCACCGAGGTCTACCGCATCGACCCCGCCCGCCTGGTGGTGACCATCTTCGGCGGCGACGCCTCTCTTCGCCTTCCACCCGACCTGGAGACCTTTGAGATTTGGCGGCAGATCGGCGTGCCCGCCCATCGCATCTTTCCCCTCAGCTCAGCGGACAACTTCTGGGAGATGGGCGCCGAGAAGGGCCAGGGACCGTGTGGCATCTGCACCGAGCTACATTACCAGCTCACCCCTGTGGACCTCGATCCAAGTGATCCAGGATACCCAAAGGCGGTCGAGGCGAGCTGCTACGAGCTCTGGAACGTCGTCTTCATGCAGTACCTCCGAGAAGGAGGAGAAGGAGGTCAGAACAACTGCAGCAGCAGGCTGGTTCGCCTGCCGAAGAACTACGTCGACACGGGGATGGGCCTGGAGCGGCTGCTGGCCCTGCTTCAAGGCCACCCCGGCGACAACTACCGCACCGACCTCTTTACGCCGTACTTTTCCGCCCTGGAGAAAATGGGTCGCTGGCCGCCCTATGGTGGAAAACTCGACTCGCCGCTGGACACCGCCTACCGCGTCCTCGCCGACCATTGTCGAATGGCGGCGGTGGCCATCGCTGATGGCGTCGTCCCTGATGACCGAGGCGCCGGGTACCTCCTGCGAAGAGTTCTACGGAGGGCGGTGAATGCCCTGAGGAAGGCTACGGGAAAACCTCTTCCAGAAAATGTTTCCGAGGCGGCCCTGCTGGTGGAGCTCGCCTCGAAGGTGGCGGTCGAATCGTTGGGCGAAGCCTTTCCCGAGCTCCACCGCAGCCAGGCGAAGATTGCCGCCGTCGTCGAGGAGGAGGTCGCCCTCTACTGTACGGCGGCCCTGCGAAACAGCCATCAGCTGTTGAAGCTCGGCGGGCTGCTGAAGATTGCGCCGCTGATGGAGGATGGGCTCAACAACTCGAGCCCAGCGGAGATTAGCCGGGCGGTGGAGGCGAAGATTGCGGAGGTCGGCGAAGAGGTGGAAAGGCTGAGGACTGAAGTGGAAATGGAGGAGTTTCCGACGGTGAACCAGGCGGCGGTGGAGAAGGTGAGACGGGAGTTTGCCTATCTGGCGGAGATGACCGGTAATGAGGAGGAGATGGAACTGTCCACTCGGTTTGGACTGACCTCGGAGGAGATTCGGAGAAGGTAGTAGGAATGGGAAATTTGAGTTGAATTTAACTTTTTGTTTGTTTTTGTAGATTGGATGAACTGGAGCTCAGCTTGGTTGGCCTGGAAACGGCCGTCGACCGCCTTCAGCAGACGGTGATTGCCCAGTTTGAGGCGGCGGCGAGGAGGCTGATCAGTTCATTAAGTTCTGCGGGAGTTTTAGCCTCCTATTTGGCCCTCTCCAATGACTGCATCACCGGCCGCTCGATGGACTTTTTCCTGCTCAAGGTGGCGGTCGATCTGTTTGGAACGGAGGCGCCGCTGGCGGTCCTTCTACGGCAGATTAAGCCCTCTGATGGTCAGGTGGAGTCGATTATCGTCCAGCTCACCGTTCCCGACCACCTTCAAGATCGGTTTCCCTCAGCACAGCAGTGGTTCGATGAGGCGGTAAAACGCCTTTTGGAAATTGGTGACCAGGCTCCAAAGTTGGCCATCTTTCCGCTGAAGAGTCGGAAGGTGAGGCGGCAGGTGCGCTACCGCGTGAAGCTCGCCGAAGAGGAGGAGGAGGAAGTGATGAAGGACGAGTCCAATGGAAGTCGAAGATGGAAGGCCGCCGAAGAGGCACTTCGAAGGGCTCTTCAAGAGGTGGTAGAGAAGACGAAGAAGGAGTGATCAAAAAGAGAATTTATTTTTGTTTTGTAGATACTCGAGAGATTAAAGAAGAGGGAAGAAAGGTTTTTCCTCTGTCATGAACTTTAAGATAGCTTCTTTTTCTTCGTGCTCTTTTTATCAGAAAGACCCACAGGCTGACGATGATGACGATCACCAAGAGGCATATGGAAACGATAATGAAGGTGGTGGTGGTGGTGCTGTTGAACATTGGCAATGGCGGTGGACTTTTGCTGGAACTTTTCGCTGTTCTACTCAACGGAATCCACCCAAGCAGTGTGTCAAAGCGGCCTGGAAGGTCCTTGACCACGTCCAGCTGCCGCCCCAAATCGTCAACGTCGAAGCCTTCTTTTTGAGAGGAGTTGTGCCTGTTCTGCCACAAGCCGAAGAGGAGGCCCCAGGCGAAGAAGGTGCCGCAGTTGAGGATCACCGTCGCTCGGAGGCGACGCTCTTGACGACGCTTGAACTTCCGCTGGAGTTCCTCCCGGAGCAGCTGCTGCTCGCTCTTCACTGACTCGCTCAGCGAGGAGAGCTGCTCCTTGAGGGTGGCCGCCAGCGGCGAGGCCTTCACCCTCTTCACCCCGCGGGAGGTTTTGCCCATCAGCCAGCGGAAGCTCTTCAGCGTGTCGACGGCCGTTTTGGAGAGGCTGGACATGCTTTGAGAGGGTGATGGGGTGAGGGTGATGATGGTGGTGGTGATGATTATGAGGATGTTTTTGAGGTGGAAGTTCATCTGGTTCATTTGTTTTGGGTAGATAAGGTGGAAATAGGTGGAGTCTTTGTGAGAACAGCAAAAGTTTCTGTTGTTTTCTATTTTGTAGAGAAAAGGTTCGATTTTGGTGGTTTTGTTTGTTTTTGGTTGTGAGTTGAGTTTTTGCTTTGAAAAAAACTAGAGTTCAGCAGAAGATCTGAAGATTAGGGAAGGATAGAAATAAAAAAATGTTTAAAAATAGTAAAAAGAGAAATTCCCACACGGGGAGTCGAACCCCGGCCATTCACGTGAGAGGCGAATATCCTAACCGCTAGACCATATGGGAATGATCGCTGAGGATGAGTGCCACTTCAGCACTCTTAAGCATGCCCACTACCCAGCACTGCACTGCACTTCAATGTACCACAGCTCAGGGAAGACATATCAAAAAGTAATTTTTTATTTATCAACTGATTGTGACTACCCCACCGGTGTTGCCTTTATTCAAACAGCAGTTTAGCTTACTAAAAAAAGTGAATGCAGTGCAGTGGCAGTGGTGGTTAATTTTTTTGTCCTCAAACACAGCTGCAAATCCGCTCTCCTAATGTTCTAATGTTAACTATTATTCTGTACCACTTTAGACCAAAAAGAGGCTGATTACTGAAGCATAAAGGGGGTAAAAAAAGTCACTGAACAGGTCTTAAAAACAAAAAAAATGATGTCTTTTACAAGTAATAAAATTCCCATACGGGGAGTCGAACCCCGGCCATCCACGTGAAAGGCGGATATCCTAACCGCTAGACCATATGGGATGCAATCACTGACTACCAGTGCCAGTTCATTCTACTTAAGCCTGCCCACTTTTGGCTCACTTTTTCCAAAGCGAAGGAAAGAGAGAGAAGTTTTGCAACTTCACTAGTGTCTTTCGGGCCTACAGGGCGGCGCCACCTTCTCTGTAGGAGAAAAAAAGAATATTTTTGTTTACGTTTTCGTCTTCAGTTTTCAAAAAAAATCTTGATTTTAATCATCAGTTGGTCAGTTGGATT